AAGATGAGCTTCTTAAAAACCACTGTATTGATAATATTAGTAATCTTTCACTCCTAAACCTTAAGGTGAAGATTTATTAACGCCGACGAAGATTTACAGCAAGACGTTATTACCAGCAATCCAAAGTGGACATGTTAAGGCATATGCACATATAACAGGTGGTGGCTTACTGGAGAACATTCCACGTGTGTTGCCAGGCAACAATGGTGCGATGTTGGATGCATCACGGTGGGACATACCGTCCGTGTTTGGTTGGATACAGAATAAAGGCAATGTGGCTATAGAGGAAATGGCAAGGACATTCAATTGTGGAATTGGTGCAGTGTTGGTGGTCAGTCAGGAACGATGCGAGGATGTGTTAGAGATGGTAAAGTCATCTGGCGAAAAGGTTTCAGTTATTGGAAATGTGATTCCAACGATAAAAGGTAGAGTAATTTTTGCAGTGTCATTGACTTGTATTATCAAACACTCAATATATCCATATGAACAAAGTAAAAAAAAATATTTAAAATTAAAAAAAAATCCATATGAACAAAGTAAAAAAAAATATTTAAAATTAAAAAAATCCGTATGAATAAAGTAAAAAAAATATTTAAAATAAAAAAAAATCCATATGAACAAAGTAAAAAAAATATTTAAAATAAAAAAAAATCCATGTGAATAAAGTAAAAAAAATATTTAAAATAAAAAGAAATCCATATGAACAAAGTAAAAAAAATATTTAAAATAAAAAAAAAATCATATGAACAAAGAAAAAAAATATTTAAAATAAAAAAAAATCCACATGAATAAAGTACAGTACTGCTGATATTTTGTTTAAACTATCCTTAATATATTTGCTGTAGGTATATCGCGAGTTCAAGTTCAAGGCCTTGACATAGCTCTGTCTGCAGTCACACCTCAAGACAAAGTACATACAGTAGTTAGTGGACAAGGTGATCACAAATCATGTGTAAATGGTGGCAAGAAGATGAAAGTGGCTGTTCTCATATCAGGAACAGGTTGGTATAGAACAATTTGTATTAAATTCCTGCATATTGATTAACTAATTTGCATATTCATAAAACATTTAGTCATTCACAGGTAGCTGGTATGTGTGTGTTCTTCTATAGGGCACTTCAATGTTTGTTGTTTCCTTCACGAATCTGTGAATTTAAAAACATAAAACTTAAATTAATCACAGCAAATACCTACAATATCACTTGTTTAATCTACACTTAGAATTCAAGAGAGACTAAAGTAACATTTTATTATCATTTTGATTATCAGGAACCAATCTTCAGGCGTTGATAGACCACACAATAGACCCTAAAGTCGGCAGCTGCGCAGAAATCGCATTAGTCATATCAAACATTCCAGGAGTAAAAGGATTAGAGCGAGCTGAGAAAGCTGGAATCCCAACCAAGGTAACAACACTAACGTAGATGCGTTTATCCTGAGAAATTTACCATTCAGTGTATCTAGATTGCATATTGGTTGCACGTTTGTGTCCCATGTTTCAATCAGAAGTTGGAATTTGCGGCTACAAATTATGAATATTTTGGGCAATTAATGCTACATTGGACAGTTTTGTGATAAACTTTATAAAATGATTGAATATTATATTTTCAGGTGATCCGGCACAAAGAATTTAAATCAAGGGTTGAGTTTGACATGAAAGTTCATGAGACCCTTGCATCGGCCGGAATAGAATTCATTTGTTTGGCTGGATTCATGAGGATTCTGAGTGGAGAGTTTGTTCGTAAGTGGCATGGACGTCTGATAAATGTCCATCCATCGCTACTACCTTCATTCAAAGGGATGAATGCACATAAACTTGTGTTAGAGGCTGGGGTACGTGTGACCGGCTGCTCCGTACATTTTGTTGTGGTGAGTATGAACATCAACAGCGAAGTGGTTTAAGTATGCATTGTTTTACAACAATGCACATGTAAATAATGATACTACTTCAGGTCACAAACAGATGAACGTCAGTTGCTGTTAAACATCAAAGAAAACAAAAATGCATGTAAATTTTAAAATAAATCAGTTCATCCCATGATACACCAATTTGAAATGAACATTCAAGTCTGAAAGCTCTGAAACTACTGATTGTCCTAAAAAATGGTTCATTCTAGCAAGCCCATGTGTGTATTATTCAATCCCTCCAAAATATTGGAATTTCAATTTCACACTTTTTCACACAGCGTACAAGATGTTAGATTGTGCCATCAACAAAATTAGCATACAAATGCATGCGATGAAATATTTGTATTCGGTGTTATTTCAGAAATAGTTCCCTTTTAATTCTCCGGAGTTACTTTATCAGACTGTGGAAATACGCATGTGATGAAAATATAATCCCACAATATTTTCTTTTAGGTTGACGTCAGCAGACACTCGTGTCACATATCACAAATATAGAAACAATATCATTGGATTATATGCAATTATTATACATCCTGTCACTGTAACGCCATAAGTTACAGCGTGACATAATTTTGCAGTATTTTACCGGATATTTTCATCCTACCATATTAGGAAATGTGAATTCCATATATGGAATGCTAATGTGTAAGCGTCCTCTAATAATAAAAACAAACATGGCTGCCACCAGGGTTTGACCGGATTCAACAAAAAGTAGTTCACTGATTCTGTTCTGAACTTTTTGGTTTTTGGCATTCCCGTGGTGTATCCTTGGAAGGAAAAGATGTATAATAATATAAGGTTATTACGAGAATACCTTGTCGCTGTACTGTCTTTGTGCATACTTTCAGGTATACTCGTAATAACCTCATATTATAACACCTGTTATACGTATTTATCATAGTGGGCCACTTACTGCATTCAACCACAAATCACCTATTTAGATCCATTTAGTAGAGTGACCACACATCCACACTGCTTGTTGACCTGAAAATCATTTGTTTAAATCCAGATTGTTACTACGGTAGTCCAAAAAATGCTTCATTTTTTAAGAGTGAGGAGAAAGTTGTACTCTCACTTAGATGAAGAACAATTTGCTTACCAGTAAATGCAGAGGTCTTTTCTAGTTAAACGAACAGAAACAGAAACAGACTAGAACAGACAAATTACTCTCCAAAAATGCAGACAAATAAAATATTCATACACACTAAATTTATCTTTATATTCTCACTATCAGGAGGAGGTGGATGCTGGTGCTATAATCGTGCAGGAAGCAGTACCAGTCTGTCCTGGCGACACCATAGAAACATTACAAGAGAGAGTTAAGGGAGCTGAACATAAAGCCTACCCAAGAGCTCTGGAATTGATAGCAAGTAATGCTCTCAAACTTGGTGATGATGGCCGAATAATGTGGTTAAACTCAGACATTTAGTTGTTGAAGATTCTATTCAAAATCATAATTTACATCAGTTTCACATTAAAATGTTAAGTTTATCCATCAATGAATAAAACTGAATAACATTTTTCATCCTTAGTGAACTCGTATATTGTATGTCTAGGAAATCCTTGAATATAGTGGAAGGCAGAGCCCTGGGGACAATGTAAACATTTTTTGCTCTCCTGTCAAGTGAAGTCAACAGGGGGATTTACACTTCTCTGCTTAATTTAGAAGGGTTTTTGAAATTAATCAGACAGTCGGTTTAATGCATAGCTTTTGGCATTTTGTCTGCTCACTATTTCATAGGGTGATAAACATTATTTGCAAACTTGTAGATATTCAATAAGTATTCTCATGTTTATCTACATTGTATGTAATTCAAGAATTATTAAAGTGCGGTGGTTGTCGCACCACGCATGTGAGTTGATAAACATTGAGTTTCCCACAATCCAATGCGCTTTTCTATTGGAAATCATTAGTACGAATTTTGACCTGGGAGTGATGTGCACTAGTTGTCGTTGACGACTACAATACCTTCCAATTACTAAAGGTATTACCTAATTAAATCTCTGTCTGTACTTGATGGTCTGCGCAACAGTCAAAGTTGCCATCTTTGTTTATACAAGACCCATATCTCGTGCATGCTTAGCACGACGACCACCTCCCTTCAAACATCCAAATAACCTGTTTGTGTTTTTTTATGAATACACATTTTAAAGAACTTTGCTTTACCTTCCAATAGTATAATAGAAAGACGTAAACTGTGTACATATCAGAACGACGATGTCAAGTCATCTTGCAAACTGACTGTCCATTTGTTTCAAGATGGTCAAACGGCGGCCATTTTTGCGCTAAAAATCAGAAATTTCTGCCGTTCAAACTTGGTACATTTTGGGGCTTTGATGCACGTCATTGTTTTTCAGATGAGATTTGAAATGGCCAATTGGTCATTTAGTTTTAATGAACGCTGTACCAAAACCTGGATCTCTGATATATCAAACATGTCGCACAAAGATTCAAGATGGCTGAATGTAATGTTAAAGAATTCATCAAAAATCTAGCATTTCTGCAATTTCGAAAACAGATTTTGTTCAGACATTGGACAATATGTGGAGGTCTGTTTTTGGAATCAGAACCAAAATGGCCATTAAGATTGCAGGTCCAGGGCTGTACTTCCAACATTTCTTAAAACATGTACATCATGTCACATATTTTACTCATTTAAAAATTCATCAAAATCTGGACCTCAGTCATGCATAGACAGATTTTGTTCAAACTTAATGAGATCTTAATGCATGTCGCATGCATTTTATACCTCACATGGAACATGCAATGCCCTTACTTGTTAATTGGACTGCAGGCATTCTACTTTCAAACCTTTTCTGGGAGGGAGAAAGATTTTTTTTTTTGGGTCACTAATGGACAGTCCTATATTGTTCGGAATATGAGTGCATCAGTAGCCTCCACCACACACATAAAAATCAGGTTTCCAGTGGTGTTGGATTAAGATAAATGAAATCAAAAATCTA